ATTCCTAAGAGCAGTTTTCTAAGAACCTTTCCTCTTTGTATTTTCTAGGCGACAGGGAACATGTTCATTTTCAATTCGTCTAAAAAAATACCAAAGAGCAAGTGGGCTAAAAGACAGCTTATTGCCATTTGCGTAGGCTACCATGATTTCCCTTGAAACAACAAATGTTTGTGTCTTCTTCCTATTATATGGCATTTACTCTTCGACCCACTGTAAATCGATGCAACTGTTTCTCACTGCCAACCTGGTTTTGTTACACATTATTGACCTCCATTTCAACCCAACACAATTCACAGTTTTGCAGATGATAGCACTTCACATATAGGTCGGTCTTTGCGGATGATGGGAACTAGAGGAGTTTTGCGGTGACTTTAACTCTGTGAAAAGATATTCGCATGGTCGCATTTAGTTTAGCTCTCTGCAATGTGGAACTATCTGCCAAAACAAACTTGTCTTAATACGGATACGAAAAATAATCAAAAATAATCTCGAAAACCACGAGTCTAAGAGCTGCTATCTGACGGTGAAATTGAATTTGACATTGTCCTAGTCCTTCAAGGTAATTTAACGATCAAGCCCATTTTTTTAAAATGTGGTGCTATATTTTCCGGAAGCGCATAATGCGGAAAACTTTACGTGAGGATGAGCATTTGGCCTCCAAATATGACATTTGGAGGTCATTGTCAAGGAGTAACATCTTACCCATGGAATAATCTCTTCTAGTAAATATAAATTCTGTCCAAGTAAAGGCGTAGGAGTTGCCTAGATGTTTGACTGTGACCTTGAATGTTTGACCTTGATCTTGAAGGTCATTTCAAAATCAGTCACTTTTTTAATTAGAAAAGAATTTTTCCAGACTCATGACTTTCGAGGTTATTTTATCGACTATAAACGTGTCTTCCAAATTTCAAATCCTTTTCGACATTGAAGACTCATCTAAACGTAAAATTTGTCACTCTATCCATTTCAGGTTTCTTAAAAAAGCTGACTTGACCTTGAAGGTTAAACTCAAGGTACCGTAAGATAGCCAGGAAAAAATGCTAAGCTTTGGGTAGAATTCCTTTCCGACAGATTTAATATGGATTTGATATTATTTATCAATTAGATCTTAGATCTCGACAGATTCCACTCTATCCATTTCCCACGAAGAAAATATAGGGTATATATATACATATATATATATAGGTGTGTGTGAAAATTCTGCCTTTTGTTGGGTACTTCGACAAAATTCAAGCAATGAGGACTCTTGATACTTTATTAATCTCCAGCTTTTAATGGACTTTGCCATCTTCATCAGGAGCTGCAATAACATTGGGAAGAAATAGCAACTATTGTGCAAAATGATTTTAAATTAACTTCCAGTAGTATGTGTGTGTGTTGCTAAATGTTATTAGCGTTTAGGTTGAGGGAAACACCCAGTAACCTGGTGAAAGCTGGATACATGGTATATTCGTCAAAATTAATATAAACTACACACAGCTGTATGTCAGGAACAAATTAAAACGGATTAAAAATATTTAAAAACGAAAGTTAAAATTACATCGTGAACCACCTGATGCTGCACAAAATGGCTTTGCGCGGGATCATAAGTAGGATGAAACATTTGACAGATGACAGAGGTTGGTGGTGTCAGTGTCGATGGATGGAACAAGAATTTTTGTAAAGTGTGTGCTATGTTGCCAAATCACTTCAGATGGTGTTATTTATCAAGATATGTTAAATAAGAATTTGTCACAGACCAGAGGCAGTTGAATAAACTATATTGTTGATGAGATGGACAATTGAATTAAACAATTATTATTTTATTAAGAGAAAAAACATAGAAGACTAAGATTATTGTCAAATTCATCATACACGAAAAAAATCGTGCACCTATAGTTCGGTAGATTGTCTTCTGAACTAATCTTCTTTAGACTATTTGCCCTATCTGGACTTTTCTGAACATCATGTATAACAAGTTCAGCTATGTTGCCACAGGCTGTCAAATAACCTGAACAAAAGTTCAAATGGAACAATCTGATAGAAAATGTTAAATTAACAGGGAACTTTGAGGCTTGTAAGGATTGTTCCTCCCCCAAAATATTCAGCTATCGGCTGCTAGTACGCTCAATTAATTCAAGATTACTCCTTGCGAATCTAGGTCAGCCAACGTCGCGTTATTACCATCCCCCTTTCCTCCAGCTTCCCTACGTTTGAATCGCTACAGCTCGGGAAGCGCCATTAGGGGATAACAGCCTGTTCCTTTCCACCTCTCTTGCCCCTAGATCCTCTTGCATCTGAGGTCGGACTTTGGCCCTTTGGGAAATATGTGTGTGAAGGTCGTGTGTACGGGGCTTATATTTCTATTTCATTTGCTTCACTGAACATTTACTTACCTGGACATTCTTGTGGTGGGAGGGTGTTTGTCTGGAGTTGACTCAACGATACAAGACGCTATGTTTCAGTGGCGTAGCCTGGCAACTAGGCCACCTTTGACCCTTTTTGCCGACACCGTAGTACTAATACTGCCCTACGCCACACCACAAGCCATCTACTGATATCTGATTATTGCATAAACCAAATAGCTTGTTGGAAAGGTATTTTGAAGTCCTTTATTTTGACGTTTGATTTTTTTTAAATCAGTCGATTCGTTATTGAGAAAATTTATTTCGAAGTGACCCAAAACTTCAACTTGAACGGCTACATCCAAAGCTCTCCGATGATCACGTTTTTTATTTGCGACAGATTCAGATTGAGTAAATTTAGTAACAAGATCCAAAACATACCTATGCGAAGTTATCTTCCCCGAATGTCTGGCGTTAAACGTGACGGCAGTTTGCCGAGCACATAAATTCTGGGCACTATAAATTAGAATCATTTTCACTCTTTCGGCTAGTGGGTGAACCATTTTGTAAGTAAAATCTGAATCAATAAGTTAATTTTCACTATCCCAAGATTGTCACAAAGGTAAATGACAGCAAATTAAATTCTTTCTTTTCCTTAATAGCAAATAACTAAACAAGTATGAAAATAAATCCAGTTCGTCCAGGATATCCGTGTTGATGAAAAGAATGCGAAAAAAAAATCGGGTTGTTATTTGGTTGTTGCCACGTCTAATCTTCCGAATTGCTATTTATGTTGGTAGTTTCTATTTTAAATTATAAATGAATTGAAATAAAAGTTATATTTTCGTCTGTTTTTGTTTTCTATCTGAAATAAGATAAATAAAGATTTTCCTAATTTTCTTGGAAAGGAATCGACCGTTTTTAAAGAATCGAACATCAAAACAAAGAACTTCGACGGACCTTTCAAACTAGCTGTTACTCTATACCCTTTGTCATTTAAAATATTCAAGGGGATGACCCTGGTGGGCAGAGGATGGAAGGGGGCGGAGGAGTTTTTGATTTTTCTTTTAATCAGGGATTTTCGATAAATCCGTGGTGGGAAGTTTTCAAATGAACACCCTGTATGTTGATATTGCTCCGGTCTGGTGCGTGGTGTAGACAACATACAACGCAACATCCGTGACTTTGAATTACCCTCCGAGGCGAAGATTCGAACCCGCGAGCCACGGGTCGACCAGGCCCCCATCAAGGACGGATTTGGAGGGTCATCGAGAGGGGCATGAGCCCCCCAAGACGCCCGAATATGGCATTTTTTTTCAAGAAAATGATCTGAATCATGAAACTTGAACCTCCCCTAGACGTATCCCATCCCCACTCTACAATTCTCACAAGAGCATTTGCTCTGAGAAGCCGTCCCCCCTACCTCCCGCCTCTAGCTATTTCCCTTTTTTATATCAACGTCTGTAGCTTAAGAAGTACCTCTCAGATTTTGATGAAACTTCCACAAATGGTTGCTACTATTTGAATGAAAAAAAAAATATTTGTAGTTTGTAAAACGATCCAGTGGCGTCAGAGAAAGAAGCCAAAAACGATAAAGAATCAAATTTCTCCAACGTTTCGGAGGCCCCTAATAATTTTCAGAAAACATTTTGTAGGGGTTGAAATTTGAAGGTTGTGGATTGTAAGAGATGGGAAGGGTATATGATTTTTCATCTCAGTATATTTATACGCCCCCAATTCACCTACTACTCATATAGCACACATCATAGATTACCCAGTACGTTTGATTTTTTTTTTTTATGAAATTTTCACAAATGGTTGCTACTATTTCAATAAAAAAAATTGAAGTTTGTAAATGGATCACGTGACGTCGGAGAAAGAAGTCAAAAACGATAAAGAATCAAAATTTCTCTAACGTTTCGGAGGATTAGGGGCATTTTCAGAAAACATTTTGTAGGGGTTGAAATTTGAAGGTTGTAGATTGTAAGAGATGGGACGGGTATATGATTTTTCATCTCAGTATATTTATACGCCCCCAATGCACCTACTACTCATATAGCACACATCATAGATTACCCAGTACGTTTGCCTTGAAAACAGAATGACAGAGAAATGTTTTTGATTCGAGTACTCCGGCAATTTAAGCATACCGCCCGGCGTACCGGTTTGGCTCATTAATCTATCCGTACCGCGACGCAAAAAACATTTACAGGGAATGATAATTTGCTGCAGCAGTGTTGCGGTGGCTGCTACCGCGTAGATAGTAGTGAAAAGGGAGAATGTTGCCGGATGGACAGTTACTGCTGATAGTACAGGGAAAGAATACCTATGGACTAATTGTGTGGGTCTGTTTGACTGACTCTTTCCAGAGGACTTAAATTGCGCTGAACTTAATCCTTTATGAACTGATGAAGGCGTTGGGTAGTCAACCTAATTGACGCCCTTTTCTTATATCTGTTACCGCTAATATCCAAAATCCGCTAATATGCATAAAAACTACACATAATAGGAATTATGCGTAAATACGAAAACCGTCGGTTAGTATGTAAAATAACGGCGCGTATCAGGAATTATTAATAAGTACTAAAATAATCAGTTATTATGCATATTCACTGTCCAAATTAGAAATTATGCGTACATACTGAAGCTACCGATATCTTATGTTAGTGATTAAGCATAACGTAACGTCATTAACTAAGTAACGTCAAATTTGAAATGCTATGTAGTTAATGATAAAATAGATATATATTACGAGTAAGTATACTATTACATAACATTTAATATATATGTAATTCTACAAAACTATATGGTATCTTCATTATTTTACTTTCCCGTTTGCCCTTTATTTCGCGTTACAAGCTTTTCAATATTTCCGACTTCAACTATTCCAAACCTTTTAAGTCTACGATACTGTAATGGAGTTTTGGGACCATTATTTGATGAAGCATCCCTAACCTAGAGAAAAACATCAGGAATTAAACGTTAAAATATAGGCACTATATTAGTTTAAAATAATTCTTACCTCGGATAAAAGCACGTCATATTCTTCCTTGAATAAAATGTTCAATCGTGAGTTTGTTCTTCCCTTCAACTTCTTAACTTCATCGACAAATTTAAATTTAATGTTATCAATAGGTAGTGCAGTCCTGGATGAGAAACTCCAACAACAAAACAATCAAAAAATAACCTCAAACTTCAACGCACGCTTCAAGGCACGACCAGTCGTATTTTGTGAGGTTACATGTATAATCACTAATATACACAGCAGATATTATGCATAATTCCTATTGCTGTGTCAGTTATTATCAATATTTACTAAAAATATGGCGATACTTTGCATAATTACTGACGATTTTAGTAGTTATCGATAATTCCTGATACGCATACTAACCGACAGTTTTAGTATTTACGCATAATTCCTATTATGTCTAATTATTATGCATATTAGCGGATTTTGGATATTAGCGGTAACATATCAACAGTTCCTTTGCGATGCAAAAATTATTATAAGATGTGACATCATGTAAATTAGGTGCAAGCTTCTCATATGACACGATATTGTACTTCTGACGTTCTGAATTTTGAAACTCAGATAACTTTTTTTTAATATCTCTGCACGAAAATCCATTTCTCATTTTTATTGGTGTCAGTATGAGTATCTAATGCCGTCTTTATAGCCGCATAATTTTAGAATAGGACGAATCTGTAAGGGATGCTACTTCATCTTCAAGAATCCGTGCTGTCAAAGTATAATTATGAGCAGAAAACGAAAATAGTCTCACAGCCTTCGTATGTTTGTAGGCCTCATGACCATTTCTGAGCACAGCGATAAAATTTTTGGAGGCATCATAAATTTTCAAATAGGTACCTAGCTCAAACCCTATTTTTGAATGTTTCTCGAATTTCTGATCGTTCAAGGTTGGAGTTATAAATTAAATTCGATAAGTCTCACTTATAACAAATTCTGGACTCGTCAACTATCAGACATCATGATACGAATCTGATAGTTCTTATAGTCTCATAACGTACATGTACATAAGTGCAATACTTAAAATTATAAGATAATTTTGTCGAGAAATATGCATTTTGCAGCATCAGAATGGAAAAACTAGAAAAATATAAAACTTAACAGAGGTCTTGAGCTGGCACCAACACATTTCGTCAATAGCTGAAGCTGCTGGGAAAAGCTAAGTTATTTGTTTACGACTGAGAAGTACTTTTCTCCACGTGACCTCTCCACTATACAAGATCCGGATAAGACCTAGCCTCGAGTATTGCTCACAAGTTTGGGGTTCTGCCACTACCACTACATTATTTATGCTCGATGCTATCCAGAGAGGGGCTGTACGACTGATCGATGGCTCTTATCTAACAGACAGTCTCGGAACCCCTTCGCACCGGCGGATCGTCGGCGAACTAGCTCTCTTCTAACGCAACACCAACGGGCTTTGCTCCTCAGAGCCCTCCTCTATGATGCCGCCGGGCGATGTGCCTGCCAGACAGACCCGCCTGACTTCGACCTCCCAGCCTAACCGTATCGAACTTCGTACATCCAGAACTGAACGATACGACCGCTCCTTGACGAAATTGCTACATCTACATGAGGAGGCTTTTCCCTATTCTACTAACCTTAGGTAGTTCAAAAATCGGATTAACAAAGCTTCTTTGAGATCCTCATAGCAGTCGCGGTGTCCTGGGGTTCAGGCTTCTGCTTCGGTGTAAAAAAATTACATTTTGACCAGTAAAAAAAACCATTGTACTTCATTAAAAAAAGAACGAAAAACTAATCTTCTTGCAGATCCTCTGCATGATGGTATATGATATCTCTGAGAGTTTTAAGCAGGGTTGTTTCGTTTTAAACATTTTGTTTTAAACATGTTTTAAACATTCGCTTAGGTTTAAAACACTTGAATTAAACAAGCACTTTTCTCTTCATTTTCTTTATTAATAAAATAAATAAAAATAAGAAATGTTCTCAAATACATTATACAAACTTTTTAACATAACTATTATTTATTTATTAATAATAGGAACACAACAATTTTGCATACAAGCGTTAACAAATTCCCCACACTCTTTCAGTCTCGTAGTCATCAATCTGATATCTGATCAGTCACGTCATCACTGATGGAATTAAGCTCTTTTAAAATTGATACCAACTTAGCAGCTTTTACAATGCTTAGCCGATTACGTAGTTTTGCAAGAACTAAACCGTATGATTAGAAGTCTTTCTATTATGGCTGACAATGCAATAGCTGTATGAAGTTGTTGAGCAAGTTCCAAGGCTGTAGTATTTATATTTTTCATAGAACGCCACCATGATAATGGTTTTACATTCTCAATTAGATGTCTAGAAAACATATATGGTTTAAAGGGTACACACTTTGCCTGGTAAGTAATAATAATTGGCAATGCTTCTGGATGATAGGTTTCTACATATTCCATGCCAGTTTCTATTTGCTGTTGACTAAGTTTATTGCCTCTAAAGCGATGATCAAGCAAATTTGCCATGAAATGAGCTGGGGCAAAGCCATTTTCATACGCTCTTCGACTTTATTCGTATCACTTACCGAAAATTCTCCATTTGCTTGTTCAGCCTCGAATGTTTCTAAAAATTTTAGCCATATCTCTGTAGCCTCTTCTAAATATTTTTGAGTTTTGGATATCTCCAGCGTTAAATTCTCATCTGACTCGGAATCATAGATAATTGACATTGGTAGCTGAGAATTTTCAGATGGAACACATTTGTGAATATGTTTCTTCACACTTAGCACTAGTCCCGCCATAATTACTTTTCATTTTTTACATTTAGCAGTCACTGATCTTTTGTTATTATCTTTAACATCAAAATAGGACCAAATGGCATCTTTCTTCGTTCCTTTAGACGACATTTTTCAAAAAAAGAACACCACAAAATAACTTACAGTAGACGTTATTTCAATAGCCAATTTGCAAGGCGAATTTATAAATAGTAGTCTGTGGTTCCCCCAGAATAATAGTTCCTCATTACAATTGGTTTTTGTTATTTCGGAGATCCACCGGCACAGCCTAACGGCGGCGTGGCGCGTCGTAGTTCGTAACAGCTGATCGCGTCAGTTTAGTACAGGACTTTAAATAAGGTATCTATTATTTAGTAGAATAATAGGTCGAACATGTTCAATTAATATAATGATAAACATGATTTAAAATTTTTTTTTGTTTAAAACATAAAATTCAAAAACAGAAAAAACGTTAAAAACAAAAAAAACAAGTATTTTGTATAAAATAAATAAATACATGTTTTTTCAACCCTGGTTTTAAGCACAAAATGGAATACAAAACCGCATAATCGTGTGGTGGAGGAGGTAGATATATAATAAATACAAACCAATTTTCGCCGTACAAACTTTGTGTGATCAGATATTGCCGGTTTGCGTTGTTCCCGAATGTAATAAATATTTATGTAGAGGATTGAGGTAAAAGCTAAACGAAAAAAGTTTTCTCGTGGGCTTACAAAATCCGACCTTCATGTTTAGGATAGATGCCCAAGGCAATTACTGAGGGGCTAACACAAAGTTATACGGGACCTCTCAAGATTTTTTAGCAGCACCGCTTTAAGTCAAACTCTTACTGATCTCTCTACAATATGTTTATTTTCAGTGAAACAATTTTTTCAGGCAGATAAAATCTTGACTTAAATTCTAGCTACTTCATTCTTTAAAAATATATATATAAATCGTGCCAATGTCATGGTTTTAAATCACTGATATCAAAAGTAACGATATTAGGTACCACAGAATGAGCTGGAGAATATTCACCAGCTGACTTTAAGACGCTTGAAGCAAGTAACTGGTACTATCACATCATGATTCAATTCAATATAGTGAAATTTGTCTTTCGGGTTAACTCATAAATACGTGAAATGATCAAATTGTTTCATAAAGCTCACAAACAAAAATATAAATACAAAACATTCGATGTATATGATACTAATACAGTACGATCAAACAAATAGAAGTCATTTCTTGAGTCACTCTGAGGTGCTCATGTAAACGCAGGTCCAGTAACTATTCTTTTTCAATATAAAGGGTGAACCAGTTTTTTAACAGTATGCATTAATTGAAGATGGGGGTCAAAACGGCATTTTTTTAGAGAAAAGCGACTCTAAAGTAAAATAAAATCTGACAACGCCGCAATGCCTGACGCAAATTACGACGGAACGCAGTGTAAATAAAGATGGAGTTTGTTATTTTTGGCTCTTAGCTATTATTTCATTATTTGATAGTGTACTCGTAAAATGCAAACAGTTAGAAAAACGGACTTACCACTAACTGTCTCAGCGCTTCACCTGGTGTGTGACAGTTTATTGAACGTATTAAAAAGATCCACTAATAAATAGGGAACACAATTTTGATACATACATTGTTTTTGTTTTTAAAACCCACACTGCACTTTTTTTATATTTAAAGAAGGTGTTCAAAACGTCGTCCTCCACTTTCCACACAAGCTTCATTACGACGAACCCAGTTTCTTCTTACTCTAGGTCCTCGAAGTTGTCCATTTATTATTTCAGCCGCATTAAAAGAATGTTCGACGTACGCGAACAAAAACAAAACAACATACTTACCACTGTTACCGTTTGCGAGCGATTGCAGGTTAGATAAGAGTGATGATGACCGACGCGCTGTTGTCATGTATGTTTTGAATATTCAATTTAATGAAACTTACTTAGTTACTGACTACAAATTTTGGCTTAACTTAGAAAAACCTAATGCCATTTATTTGTTAATTACCCAATTTAAAAACGTTTTAGATTAGATTATACAAATTAGTAAGATTGTGGTGATTGGGGTCGACTTCTGGACCATGGGTCATATGAACTTTTTGACTTGTTTTGATGCCTCCTATTACCCATTTCAATAATGACTTCCATAACGTTTACACCATGTATATTTACGAGCTTATGTTTCCATTGTCAAATTCTACAGACTCATTTTCATTAAAAGGTGAAACGGTTTCCGTATTTCATTTACTTTATACAAAACCCTTAAATTAACGTGTAGATGGTTGACTTCAGTCTCTTACAAACCAGTCCGAAGAGACAGGCGAGGCGCTTCTGTGTTTACACTACTTCATATCGGGCAACACTGGACCAGCGTTCTGACAACTTCGAGCTTAG